GTGGAAAAAAATTTCATTTTCCCACCAATATTATACAGTAATTTCATAAGAGAACTGAAAAACCTAAGAGAAATTTCTTCTCCAAAATAAAGCTGAGATGACCCTTAAAGAAGATCCTGGCTTGAATGCACTAAACGTAAACTAGAATAAAGCAGGCTTGAGGTTTAGATGCAGGGGCTCAGTGCGATTTCTCTGGTAAAATAGATAGATAGATACTTTATTGTCAGTGCAACATAAAAACAAAATGAAACTTTGTCTGGCATCAACTCCCAGTTGCCAGCAGTTGTCTGGTATAGGTAATCATACCAGATAAGTAAATAAATAGCTAAAATTCCAAATAATGGTCATTAAAATGATAAAATAGTACTAAAATGCCATAATAATTAGAAATCAGCTTAAAACAGTTAACCAAGTGATTACTACAGTCATGTCATTGCATTTGCTAGTCCATGTGAAGTGGGTTATGATTAAACAGTCTGCCCACAGTCCTCTTAAAGAAGGTATTTGTTAGGCAGCTGCTCTTGGCCCTGGATATATGCTTTGCTTAGTTTTATGGTGAATTTTTACTAAAAACTAAACACAAATGCCGAAAACCCAAATTTTTCTGTTCAAGGTGAACAAACGGGAAATCTTTACTGCCAAACAGAACAATTAACTGCCTCCATGTGTCTGAAGTTAATTATCTACTGGCTACTTCACTGGGTTTTTTTTTTTATTAGTGTGTTTAAATGCTGTAAGCAGTGAAACGCATGATTCCAGTGAATCTGTGCTTATGTAGCATTCTCTTCTAATCCAAAGTGTTTCTTCAGTCTGTTGGCTGAAGTGAAGTAGACCTGGGCCTGCACAAGTCTTCATTTCCACATGCTTTCTCCTCTGCTGCCACATACCAGAACAAACCTCCCTCAAAGATGCTTAGAGCTTTGTTCTGTGATCAGCTAAACATTCAGGACAATTCCTGATAAAACAGTCCATTCGTGTTGGATCATGTCATACACTGCACCGTTTCTAAAAATGTCCGTGGAACGTTCAAGACATTTTCTTGGTAGGGTTTGCTATGTTTATATAATGAACCTTAAACACAGAGATTTTATTTTTCTTTAATATGTTTTAATAGTTTGCTCCACAGCAGGTAAAAAGAGAAATGTCTTAACCTGAACTGCAGGGTAGTGATTCTTGTATTTTTCATGAGGCTACAGTAGAGATGTCATCTGTGGTCAGAAGGGGTCAGTGTTTCTTTACTTAAAACTACAGTTTTCAACTTGCTCTTTTTAACTGCGTTTGGAAAGTGATCTGGTTAAAGGCGTGTGATTCTGATCATGGCAATTTAAAATGTTGCCTATGTGTGTGGATTCAGTGTGCAAGGGAGACAGAGATGAATAAATATAGTTACAAAATGGTGAGAAATTATGCAGAGGTGACTGTCAATTGTTGTCCCTCAGACTGCGTAGAAATGTCTCACATGTATTAAAGTGTTGATCAAGTTGCGTGTGGTCATAGCTGCCTGAAGCAGGTTTACTGACTGTACAATGAGAACCCTGAAAGCATTTGCCTTAAAACCTTATTTTGCTGCTTTCACAGTTGCTGTTTGTCTAATGTCTAGTTGCGTTCAGAGCTCTTTGTGTATTGAAAGTGCTAATTGTACCAGGTGATCTTGCTTCTGTTCTGCTGATAATCAGTGTTTTATGGACACAGTTTTAAATAGCAGAATAGTAGTTTCAAAAGCAATGTTTTGACTGAATGTATTTGCTGTTGTCAGCTTTATATTTCAGCTACAATAACTTGTTTAATTACAGGGGTTTGCTCAGTGTTCACCTCATGATGCCAGAGTTAGTTCCAAGTATTTCCAGCAGGTACATCAGTGCATGTCTTTATCTGTGCTATCAGAGACTGAATGTCTGAAGAAAATATAAGCTACCTGTCTGTTTCTGACAAACCAGCTCATTCTGATGTTCTAATGTGTTTAATAAACAAAACAATCTGATCTACCCTGTGCTTGTGGTTTCATCTTCAGGCCTGCCTTTGCATTTGATAACTGACATGAGTTAGGCTGACATTTTGACTTTTGGTTCTGATTTAACACTATATTAGTCCAGTGAGTGTGTTCACCGTGCGTGTCTAAAAATAATTATAGAAAACATATTAATAGAGATTGCAGCTTTGAATATTGTAACCTTTCTTTACGTTGCAGTTGCATTACTGAAGGTTTTAGTCTGTTAGTATAACACTACCACCACCTTGGCCTTTTCTGTCTGTCCTGAAAAAGGCCTGTCCTCATTATACCAGGCTCCACTGCGTTCCCTTTCACTTGACACAGTCAAATCAAAGGGCAATTTTAACTTTTGATACAGATTTTTAAAAAAATCTTTATACTTCTTCTATCAGAAAGTTCATAAGGTAAACATGTAGCTTAATCTGTCTGCACCCTGCCTACAGTAGTTTTCCAATCTCATACTGTAAGTACAACGTGCACCACCTGTCATCTGAGCTGAAACACAACACACTATCATAAGACACTGGCTTCCAACCCATCAAGTTGTTTTAAGATAATCTCATTTTAACAGATGAGAAAGAAAAATGTCTTTTGCAGAAAAGTGTTCATTCTTATACCTTTCTCTGTCTCTTTTCCTTGTGAAATACCATCATTCTAAGGTATTATAAAGGAAATATTTATGTGGAATCCAGTGCGGGAGGTTATCTGCTGCATGTTGTTCCTGATCACAAGGTTAACACCTGGCTTTATCTGTAAAACACCTTGTGTGGTTGTTCTCCCCTGTTAGCACCTTGCCCCTTGTCTTAGCTGCAGTACTACAAAGCTAACAGCAGGGGGTACTGTTGCACTGTGCCACACAGTCAGTTCAGTAGGTTTAATCCTACTTTGCACCACATTTCAGTCATTTTTAGACAGTTTTATGCTTTTAAATGAAAAATCTTGCTCAGCTGTGATTTGTCAAGAGTATTTGTGTGAATAAAGTCAGCAGAAATAAAAAAAAAAAAACATTTTCAGATTTGACATTCTTATTGTCTGGTCGTCCCCCATTTTAAAATTCTATGCAAACAGCTGAATCATGATTTAGGTTACCTGCAAAATAAAAAAAAAAAGTGTTAATGCTGACCTACACTACATGGTCACTTTGTGGTGGCTACACAGGCATCTGTGTCCCCCTCCCTCTTTGTCTGTTCCACCCTTTTATCTTTTAGGAAGACTGGCAGATACAGAAACTAGAATAGGCCATATCAGATGAGACCATGGCCACCTTTTATCCACCTATCCTCTCATTTATTTATCTCTCCTCTCCTGCCCACATGGCTGCTGATTAGCTCATGAACCAACATTCATGTTTCCTACATCTTATCTCTCAATCCTTTTCTATTCAGTATACAGAGTGATATATACACACTGGCTTCCAACCCATCAATGGTGTCACAAACACACACAGAAACCTGAGCAACATGCTGCTGGGCTTTTTTGCTTAAGGGAAAGATTTTTAAAAGGAGATCAGAGTATAGTATTTAAATGTCTAGTGATTCAACTGGTGGAGAAATGTGTGTATTTGTCAATGAAAAGGAACAGACTAACTCATTCATATTTTCTGTTAGAACAAATGTGTGTCAAGCAGTAATTGTGTTTTTGGAGGCATGGGGACCATTTTTGAACTATTTTTTAATTTGCAGTTAGCAAATTTTGTTCTATTCAAGGGCTTACAGAGTAATGTGGTGAAATGACAAGCTGTAGTTCGGTGTATACAGAATCACAGTTGCTGCCAAAGTCCAATTGCCAACACACTAAAAATATATCTGCTCCGAGAAGCCTGGGACAAAGCGTTCACCAAGTGACATAATTGAAAAGTCCAGTTTATCCACTTATAGCAACATTAATGTGTACAGCACAAGCCAAGATCAAGTAATTAATACACTTAAAAGATCTCTCCCGTGACAGTGATAGCAGCCAGTGTGTTAAACAAGGACAAGAAAACACTCTAGCACTTATATCACAATGCTGATTCTTTTCGTCACATCACAGTTTACTTTGATTATGTTTACATGTGATGGATATTCTCTCACCGGCCCTGTCTGTATGGGGTTTGCTTGTTCCCCCTATGTCTGTGTGGGTTTCCTCCAGGTACTTCTGCTTCTTCCCACAGTCCATAGACATGCAGGTTCGAATGACTGTTGACTCTAAATTGCCCAGGTGTGTGTCTGTGTGCCATCACTGTGACAGACTGGTGACCTGTCCAGGTTGTACCCCGCCTCTCGTCCACACTCAGCTGGCATTGGCTCCAGTACTTCCGTGACCCTCTAGGATAAGTGGTATAGATAATGGATGGATTGATATTCTGTCTGTCATGATCCTGCCACCAGCTCATCCACAACCCTGGTATGCAGCTCATCATGCACATTGGTTTCACCTGCCACTAATCACCCACACCTGTTCACCACAGCATATAGCAGCTCCTCACACTGTGATATGCTGTGTCTAGACTCTCCAGTGTTTGTTCCTGGCTGCTTTCGTGGTACTGAACCCTTGCCTGCTCTTACGACCTGTGATCCAGCCTGCTCCCTTCTTTCTGACGGCCAACCTGAGATCCGACACCTTGCCTGTACTTTCTGATAACGATTATAGCCTTGCCCCTGTTATATGGACTGCTCTCTTGTTGCTGATTGCCCCGCCTGGACACCTGACCTGAGTATCCGCCTTGCCCTATTGTTGCCAGCCTTGTCTGCCCTCTGTACTCCAGCTCTCCTGCACGGACTAGCACTATATTGATACTCCCCGGGACTGGCTCTTTAATTGGGTCCCTACCTCTACTTCTACGGGGGTTGCTCACGCTGCCTCCCCTGACACTGTCAGGGCCATATTGAAATTTAAGTGAATATTTTCAAACATACAGATGCTAAACCTGCTGTAACACTTCACAAAAGCCACAGAAATTAATTCACTGTTGGCATTCTTTGTTACACAACTCAAAAAAGTCTTCCTCAGTTTCTGTCAGGACATATTTGATACAGGTGTGATACAGTACATACCGTTTGTACTTATTTTATAAGTGTGAACAGTTCTTTTTTTTAATCCCTTTATCCATTAACATACCCTGCTTGCAGTGGGCCTACAAATGCATATAGCATACTTAATGTTGTTATTTTCAAATTTCTCAAAGGATCAAAACTCTTCTCTCAAAAACATTATATTCAACTTAATGTTCTGTGATATTAAAGCTACAGATTCAGGCTGTTATGTTTTATATCTTTTTATTATGTCATAGTTTACATTATGACAGTTAAAAATGTAAGATAGAAAAAATGAAATCATTGGAACTTTATACTTTAGAGTAGAATTTTGTCACACAATGCCAGTAAGTGTGACTAAATAAAGGTTGTCAGTGTCAATTTTTAATGTTATTCAACAAAAAAAAGAAAAGAGAAAAAAGGGACTTGGTGGAAAAGGGGAATGTTTCAGTGTAGACGGACTGAAAGCCTTTGAGGCCTGATTACAGTGAACTGTCTCCAGCCCTCCACTTCCCTCCACACGGACGAGGAGCTCAGGACAAGTCACAACAAGCAGAAATGTTAGCCACCTGCCAGATGCTTCTTGGACTGTGGCGGCCAGCTCTGTGGATGTGGCTGAAGTCTCTGCCAGGAATTTACTTTTCTTTCAACTAACATTTCCCTGTCAAACTTATTTTACCAATTAATTGATGATGCTGGAAGAATACATTTTATACTGTGTGGTTTATATTTGATACTGTACCGATTAGGATGCAGGCCATGAGTAAAATACATCTTTTTTACAAGTAAAATATATTTTGAAAATACTAAAAAGTTGCTTCGCGGCACTAGTTGTTGAGATATTCCAGTCTGGACTGATCGATTGTGCTAAAAATAGCAAATGAAAACCATAATTGCGTGAAATCTAGAAAAGTCGCATAAGATACTATGACCTCAAGAGCTGTCTGGCTCTGGGAACAGCAGGCCTGTTACCAGATGACAAACCAGCTAATAAATGTGACCAGTTGGGCTAATCAGTAGGCTGCCATCACCTCAGTCTGCTGCTGCCCTCACATTAACCTGCCGCTTGTTATTAACACAGAGCTCAAGAGCTGTGTGTGTGTATGTGTGTGTGTGGGTATGTGTGTGTGTGTGTGTGTGTGTGTGTGTGTGTGTGTGTGTGTGCACACGCAGATGAAGAAAAGGTTGAACAGCATGAGGTGTTTGTTTGTGCGTGGAGTTCACTGGGTATGCCTTTGTGTGTGTGTGTGTGTCAACTCAAGTTGAACTTATCCAAGTCTTGCTTGAGCTTATAACACAAGCAATCCATGTTTCTTCTTGGCTTAAATGCAGCTCACTGTATGTGTGGGTGACACACAGTGGTGATCTGGGTTGTCCTCCACTGTGGCAAAGTGCTAAGCCCCAGGCTTCAGGTTATGTCAGCGTCTTAAAAATGTGACGCAGGGGGCATCAGGTGTGTGTTTGTGGATTAGTGTGTGAAAGGGAAACGGCAAAAAGTTGGGAAGGCCTTTCATTTAAGACTGCAGACTTTTGGTACTGCAGCTGTGCCTGTGTGTGTGTGTGTGTGGGGGGGTCTAAATCAGCAAACAATCAAATGTTCAGTTACATTTTTGAAGATCTACAACTTTTTTCACATTAAAAATAGTTTGACTTTATCACTGCTGTTGATTGATGTCATGCGAGTTCAAACTCAAACCCATACCAATGAAGGGGTAAATGCATCCTGGGAAAAATCCACTGCTACTCAGCAAATGATCCTTTCTGTGTTTGTTGAGACAACACTGGTGGCTTGTTTGTAATAATTATAAGAAGGAAGAGGAAATACAAGAGGATGTGGTGCAGTTGGATCATTTTCTTTATTGCAACATGTTGGTCCAGTGCAAACAGGCACCATTAAACACTAGTGGAGAGAATGTTTATCTCCAAATGTGCGCCAAAATCAAGAAAACAGCTATTTCAGTTAGAAAAAACCTCGAGGAAAAAGCTGTGTGCATACAATTTGACTTAAAGACAAAGAAGATTATTGTGTTTTTGTGTGTAGTTCTTCCTTAAACCTTTTGTGTCAGATGGTGTATAACTGACTGTCTGGCCACAATGTCTTCTGATACTGAGGTTTTAGAAATGTAAGATCTGTTACATCGCTCCGCTTTTTCTCATTCCTTTGGCTGTATTACTAACAGGTCAAACGTAAGACTCTGTGCCAGGCTCATATGCAGATTAGTAAGTCTGGAAACAGGATGTCAACAGAGACACTGGATTTTTGGTCAAATCTCCGAGTCTAGTCTGACCACCAGGAAATAAACGGGTCTTTGTTGCCGTCTATGGACTTTAAAAACTTTATGAAGCATCACAGTTGGACCATATGGCACTGAGCTAAATGTCCTGTGGATCAACTCTAGCACGACTGATGCATTTATTCAATAGAGTCCATAGTTGGAGAGGAAAGGTAGACAGGAGGATGAACAGATTAAGAGTAGGGTAAAAAAGAGAGATAGAGGGTGAGAACAAGAATAAATAGAATCACAAAAAGGGGATATAGAAAGAAGACATCAACAGAACAAGTGACAAACACATGTAGAAAGGACATCCAGGAGGTAACAGGGTTCATCCACTGAGCAGATCTTTATGTCTGTTGGCCTGTGCCTCTGCATATAGAGCGCTCAGTCATAATCCACCTGGTTTTCCACTTAAAGCTTCATTGTAGAGTTTAACTGGTTTCAATGTGTATAAAAATGTAACTGTATTATTACATTTATCATTATCAATGCAGACCTGATTACTTATCTTGATATAACTGTATTTTAGGTCATTACATCCAGCTCTAATAAGGAACACAGTTGTCTGCATGTGCTGTATTTATTGGTGTGTGGTCTCCTGCAAACAGAAAACAGATGAAGGACGATAGAATGAAGAGGCCAAAGGAAGAAGGGACGAGGACAGAGAAGTCTTATTCACTTGACTAGAGTGTTTATGACATCTGGACAGTTGTTTAGCTAAGCTGTGTGTGTGTGTGTATGTTGAGATAATTTGTATGTGTGTGCATGCAGTGCCCCAGGGTCACACCTGGAGTGGAGCTATTCCTTGTTTCAACTCAACCAGGCACTGGCACATTTCAGCAGCCTCTGTTTCTCATGATTCTCATACCTCCTCCCTCAGGGCAAGTCACAGTCTCCTCGACAGCAGAGGAGCTGAATGTATAAACAGGATTACAAAGTGCACTAAGGTCTTTTCTCCCAGCCCAGTAAAAAAAAAAACAAAAAAAACACAAGAGCTGGTGTTGACTGTACCACTGCAACAGTTAAGTCCAGACTGAAGAAATCAGCTCTTTTAGAAATGCACCTGTCTGATTAGATGACAGAATCAGACTCTGGGCTAGTTCAGCATAGCATGAAGACTGAAAACAGGGGGAAATGGCTAGTTCTAGCTCACATATCCCCTCCCACTCCCCACCCTCCAAACCACAGTAGATAGTTTTTATCCAACATGTTAATGAGTGAGAGTTAACCGCTGTGGATAGGCAGTTTTTGTTGTCATTCATTCATATGAGCTGATTGACTTCATCCATAGGTTAAATCTGCTCATGAACATGTTGAACAACTTGATACAGTAGCTATAAAACCCCTGGTTTCAGCAGTCTAGAGCTCAAATGTAGTGGAAGCAGAATAATAGTTAATGCATCACATGTTGCTGGAAACATGTTTTAATGTGACTGGTGTCTTGCGTTATCACCTAAGGACATCCTGACAAGCATCTGAAGAACAGCTCCAGAACACAGTCTCAGGTAAAACAAACCAACATAGGACCCCTGTCATAACACTTTCTCATGTATGTTCCCTTCAAAAACGGTCCATTTTAAAATGGCTGTAGTTAAATAATCCACCTTGTCTCGGGAATTGTCCTGGGTCAGCTGGTGAGGTTGGTCCTGGCTGTCTAATACTTGACTAAAGACGGTTCTCAGAATGATTTTTATTTAGGCTACATATTGACCGACACTGTGAACTTGAAGTGTTCTGTGGCTTTACAAATACAGTCAGATAGTCCCTTCAGTGATGCACCTTTGAGCTGAGGTAAAAACCCAGTGTCATTGTGCCTTTAACTTCAAAGCTGGCAGCGCAGCGGTGTATGGCCATGCACCTGCTCCGACAGCACCGAGCCCTTCAGCCTGACTTTTATTCTACAAG